TGATTATTTTCATTATCATTATTATATTCGTTATCATTATTATCTTTCAATTGAGTACTATTGTTATAAAGTGTATAGCATAAGAGCTGGCAGAGGCACTCTATAAATATAAGAAGAAGAATAAAAATACTTAGTGTCTGACACACACTAAGTACTCAACACATTTTAATTACTGTCCTAACTGTTCTTTTCAGCAGTTATTATTTCCTGTGAATTACTCGGTACTGCCGTTCTCCTTTCCTCATCCCACTTCATCCTCCATGGTAACCTGCTTCATGGTAGCTAAGCAGGTTTGCCCCTCAATCTTTATTAAGCTTCAAGCCCCCTTGATTGTGTCAGTTCCAGGCAAGTTGGTCTTTTCCACTGCTCCCGAGGTGCCCTCATCCCTGGGCACAAGCCCAACCTCCCAGAAGGGCACACTGGCAGCCAAGTCAGGCTTCTGCTTAGTGACTCCACCTGCACCACCCTTCATCTGCTTGCTGCAAGCCCCCTCGCTCACCTGCTCACCCGGGGGAGTAAACACCACCCACGCCCTGCAAGTATTTCCTTGCTGCTTTCCCTTCCCCAAACTGGATCCTGGCAGACAGCTTTTATTTGTTAGAGGAGGGAAAATAATAAGAACAAAAACAACTAACGCTTACATAGTGCCTACTCCAAGGCAGATGCTGTTCTAAGTGCATGCGGTCCACCCTTATCTGCAGGGGATACATTCCAAGATGCCCTGTGGATGTCTGAAACCATGGAGAATACCGAAACCTATACACGCCAAGTTTTTTCCTATACATACCCACCATGTAAAATTCATATAACATCAAATTAACCATTTTAAAGTGTACAGTTCAGTGGCATTTAGTACATTCACTATGCTCTGCAACTAAATGCCATCACCCCAAAAGGAAACCGTACCCATTAAGCAGTTGCTCTTCATATCCTTTCCCCCTAACCCTTGGCAACCACCAATCTGCTTTCTATTTCTGTAGATGTACCTATTCTGGATATTTCATTTAGATGAAATCATCTATTATGTGACCTTTTGTGTCTGGCTTCTTTCACTTAGCATGGTGTTTTCTATGTTCATCCATGATGTTGTATGTATCAATGCTTCATTCCTTTTTATGGCTAAATAATATTCTATTTTATGGATTCACCACACTTGTTTATCTGGGCAGGGACTTTAAAGGAGCCATTCCAAGGCCCTAGCAAGACTATGTCACAAAGGTAGTGCTGCCGACATAAAAGCAGATCTCAGAAATTCCATCCTATTATGCTCAAGAGAAATCCAGACAAGAAACCTGCTGAGGAAGAACAGGCTGGCTAGGATCAGGGTTGAAAACTCAACAGCCTGCTCAAATTGCTTAGATGAGTGAGAAGGGCTAGGAGGCAGACAGCAGGGAGGGTCACGGGCCCCCTGCTGGGCCTTAGCACATTCATATTCAAAAATACTTAAGAAAACACTGTTCTGCCTAAATGGAACCTTCCCTGGGCCAGCTTCAGTCACTGCCCCATTTGTAACCCCAGCTGGGCATTCTGGAAAACTGTGGCACCAGTTCCAGTTCTGGCATAAATATCCATTAATACAAAAAAAGTAAATGAGTTGGCAAATTGAATTTCAACGTCTAACAGAAAGGTGAGTGGGATCCCAAACATTAAATAAGTCCATAATGTTACAGGTGCTATAACCAGTCAGATAAGACTGAATGCTGACTCTGCTACAGACTAAAAACAGCCTTAATACCTAGCCCAGGGACAATCTTAGAGAATTAGATCTCTATCTGATTTAGCTGACACAAAAATGGCTAATCCTTCACTTCCATAACCTTTACAGGAGGTTTTAACTGCAGAACTTGGAATTGTGAGTGACAGTCTCAGAGGATGAGAGTGTGACTTGTGGAACCAGGAGTCTTGCAACAAGCAAAAACATGTTGAATTTTTACAAGTTAAAGAGTCCCGTCTTGTAAAATTGATTTCTTTATCCCAATGGCATTCAGGGAAACAAATTTGGAGTGTTAAATGGTATTTAGCCCTGCGGTTCTCCAAGTCAGTTATAAATCACCTGGGGAACTTATTAAAATCACAGGTTCCCAGGCCCCACCTCCAGGAAATGGACTTCAGGGGCTCTTCTGGGGGACCAGGAATCTGTTTTACTAGGCTGCTGGACAGGTGGCCCACAAGTCACTCTCTAACAAACCCCAATCTAGCGAATATTCTTGTAGACAATCTGAAATTATAGCTGTAGAATCCGAGTCTAGATTCTACCTCTTGTCCAAATCTCTGGGCCTGCTTAGAATTCTATTTTACTGGCCTGAAATAGAATTTCATGCTTATTTTGTTTATTCATTCATTCAGTGAGTATTAATTAAGGATCTGCTGCCCCTGCAGGTATATCTGTAGAAAGGACAGAAATGAATCCCACTTCTTATAGAATTTATATTGGATGAAGTAAATAATTATTTTTCCATACAGAGAAGCCTATTAAGATAGAAACATAAACTCTCCATGTTTGGGTGGGATAGTAAATGTTCATGAGTGTCACTACCACATGACGTATCTCCTCAACAATAACCCTGCTGAGCATCTACACACCCAGTGTTTGCTTAAATACTTACAGGGGCGGGAAACTTACTTGTGGAATGAGCCCTTTCAAACTTCAGACATTAAATTTTCCTTCCCTGAAACTTTTGCCTTTGGTCCTTGTTCTCCTTTATAAGATATGATGAATGAGGTTATCCCTCTTCCCACAGAGAAGCATTAAAATATTCCCCCAAAAAAATCCTTTTCATCCTTTTGTTATGGTTACCATCACCCTCTGAATGCGTATCACTGTGTCTTTTTTAAAAAATACAAAGGTGAAAGCCAACTATTCATTCATCTTTTTCTTTGTTAAACTCACATGAGCCAGGCACTGTTTAAGACTCTGGGGATAAAGCTTACAGAAGAGAATAGCCCTCCTCTTCACTCTGGATGCTGCCGTTCTATTAATGTCACATTGTAGAGCTATTAACTCACAACGGAAGCTCACTAGATCATAATTTCATAAAGGTCTTCATGAACAAATCATCTTTTCTTACCTTCATTTATCTAAGTTTATTGTTATCTACCAACAAATGCCTCTCCTTTTAATTGGAATAATATTCTGCCAACTCCCAAACTTTGTTTTTTCGTTTTGTTATATTTTCTTTCTCCCTTTGATTCTCAACCCTCACAATGTATAAACCTGTGTACGGAAAGCCATCTGTGGCTCAGCTTTATTTTATAACAGTGGCATGGAGAGACCATCTCATCTGACGCCTTCCCCTTACACATGATTTCCCCCATGAGAACTTCTGCCTGACTTTTTACCTTTCCTATGCCTCTTTTGCTTAATCTCGTGACCTTAGACATCTGTGTCCACCTCATCATTTCCTACAGTGATAATCCATGTGCTTCCTCCAGAGCCAGAGTGGTAAACAACTCCTGGTGGCTTGGGCAGCAACTCAAAGAAGACCCGGAAATGCTCTCTCTAACTCCCCAAAGCAAGGATCCCCACCCACCACTTGGCAGTAGACACACCCTGAGGTTTCTGGATCAAGCTGCAGACCCAGAGTCCCTCTACTGGGCTCTCAGAGCCATTGCACTTGACAGAGAAGGAATTAAACGTGTGTCCAATCATTAGGAACATCCAAGACTGTCAGCAAACAAGAATCTAAGATCATTATCCCACAAATAACAAAATGGCTCTAGAATTAGAATTTTGGAGATAAAAAATAACCTCCAAGACCACCCAAACCTCATCTCCTTGTTATTCAGATGAGGAAATTGGGGCCTTAAAGAGGAGGTGTTAGAGGCTGAGCAAACACAAGAACCCAGGGCTCCTTATTCCAGGCCCATCTTCTCTTCACCACTCTTTTGGGTTTAATTGTTCAACCTTAAATCAATCTCCTGTCACTTAGCCAGTATTCCAGTCCTGGAGTTCCAGGCAACAAACCATAATGGTGAGTATATCCCAAAAACAAAGCCAGACAAACAAATGCCATCTGGGTGCTCAGGAATCCAGCCATTTGCTGGCTCCTTTCCTTTTAGGGCTGGTTACAAGAGGAATGGCACCAGTGGGATAACATGTTCCTATTTTTTTCTTCTAATCCAGGACATCTGTCCCTTCTTTGGGGAATGTGTAATATTTGGGGCTCCTCAACATGTGACCAGCCACCTGTTGCTCATGCCTTTCCAAATTGGCCTCTCAGTTTGGGGCTGGCCAACTGGCTTCACACCCACAATGAAATGCAACATTCTAAATTTGAAGAGTCTGGAGTCTTTCAGGAATTAGCAGGTCAAGTCAAAGCCCTTAAGCAGAATATACATCATGACACTTCTTCCCCTTAAATGTCATAGCTCTGGTAGACTGTCACCAATCTTTGAAGAGAATGAAAGCTGGAGTTCACCACAATCTGTCAGATTATTTCACCTCTAATGCCATTCATTCATTCAACATACATTTATTGACCACCTGCTATGTGTCACTCACTGCCAAACGTCCACTCATCTGTTTACCCCCACAAACATGTACGGGGACTCTACTGAGAGCAAAGTCCCATGCTGGATGCTGCGGGAGGTCCAGCAATGAATAAAGCCTAGCTCCTGCCCGGAAGGAGCTCTTAATTTAGTTGGGGTGATAAATCTACAAGCTACTATGATTTAAGGCCATATGTGCTAAGAGATACAAAGAACTATGGATCACAGAGGAGCAAGAAGTCATTCTCAGCTGACAGGTAAGAAAGTTTGCGAGAAGATGTCATGTCAGCATTAACCTTGAGAAATGGGTAGGTTTTGGACAGGCAAAAAGAGTGCATGTCTGGTTGAATCCCTGTAGCAGCAGAGATCCAGGAAAAGCAAGAGTCCTCCTGGCTGCTGTGTTGGGTTCATATGCTGTTGAGGGAGTAAATGGAGATGGGAGAGGGTAGGGAGAGACTTGAATACTGGAAGGGGTGAAAGGTCTGAGCCTCTGTTATTTTCCTGGCCCCCAGGTTCTGAGGTTTGGCACCCAATCTGCAAACAGGCAGCCCGAGCAGAGAAGAAGTTAAAGGTAAGCAAGCCCAGATACTTTTTGCCACAGGCTGGGAGCACTGTGCTTTAATAGAAAGTAATTCCTTAGTGTGCATGGTCCCAAATGTGAGCCTAACACCCACCTCACGGGGCGGGATTAAGACATTGGATGTGAGAGCAGTTTGAAAACTGTCCAGCTGTGTCTTAATGTGAGTTTTTTAAGCATTTCTGGGATGAGGCTATGCCGTAACCATTCCTTACCAAGATGGCAACCTCTCCGAGATGCCCCAATCTAAGGTCATTTATTAATAATAATAATAATAATAATAATAATAATAATAGTTAATATTGTCACAGGGATTGAAAGTTTGCAAAAGATCTTCACAGCCACTGTCTGATTTGGTTTATTTAATTATGGGGTAGGTAGGGAAGGCATTTTATCTTTGCTTTGCTTGTGAAAAGACCAAGGTCTAAAGAGGGTGGGGATTTGCCCACAGTGATACAGCCAGGCAGAAGCATAGACAGTCTCCAGGCACACACTGAATCAGACCCTCTGAATTACTGAGATTCTGGGTTCTCGATCCAAGAACTGCAGAGAGGGGCCCTGTTCCTCGGTCCTTGATGCTGTGCAGGAGACACCTGGAGTATGTGTTGGGGCCACTTAATGATCTCCAAGGTGTCCCTACACTCTGGCCCTCAGATCAGCTTGGTTCCTTGGAACTGTGTTAAAAATTACCTGCTAGAGTCTAAGGTAAAAACACGTGTGTACAATTTCTGACCAGCTGGTGAAATATTATTTTTTTTGCCATCTCATCCATCTAATGTAACTTTTGGGAAAGAGATGGTTTGTTGATATATAATTTTTGACCCAGGAGTGGTTTTTTTCCCCTGTTTCTTCCAAGGCCTCTCTCTTTTAGGTGTAAGAAGACCTAATCATCCTTTTCTTCCTCAATGTCTGCCTCTTTGGTGGCATTTCTCAAATTTCAGTCACCCTACCACCCTGATGCTTTTTGCCATATCTGTGTGCAACCTGTATCACTATATAATTAATATTTTTCTTTTTCTTTACACCAACTCACTACTTTTTACTTAACGAAACTTATTTTAAAATAAAAATGTTATAGCACCATGTGGAAAACCAGTATTACTTGCTATAAATAAAAGGTAACCATAAAATAAATTAGATGAAAATGAAATAATTCTTAAGAATGCAATTCTCAAGAATAATTCTTGGAAATTCTAGCTGGATCACGTTGCCTGCACTCTGTTAAAAAGGCAGGGGAGGGAGTTTTAGGGAATTAGCAATTGTCAAGACAATTGTTGAAATGTATTAGTACAAAATTAAGACTTGCTCCTTGATCTGAGAGGACTGAAATAGAACTTCCCATTTTAGTCTCTCACTCCAGGATTCTGTATTACCAAATGTTCCACATAAATTCATCTCCACTAGAGCCACACTCGTTCACAAAACACTGCTATACAACCCCACTCAGAATGCTTTAAGTTATAGGATGAGAGATCTGAAAGGGAATTTAGCAATCCCTAAAACTAACCCCTTCATTTTATAGATCAGAAATTCAAGATTTCTAAAATCACGTAGTTCCTTAGTGGTCGTTAATGCTCAATCTGTTTACTTTTTAACCACACCATGCTGCCACTCTCTGATGCACTGAGATTGACACAGTGTTGTTCTGCTAAGGAAGCCGTTAGTCCATCACTGCCACTGTTTAGAGAAAGATTTTTTAAGTTTATCATTTAGGTCGATGTCAATTTGCAATGGATATTCTATAAACACACTAGGTATATTAAACTTCAATTACATGAAGTTTAACCTACTTTTATATTTTGTATAAGCAAACTACATTTGGAATAGTGCTAACCAATTTTATTCATTTAAAGTAACTACATTATTGGCTGGGATTACCTCAAATAAAAAGTTTTAAGAGTGACTTCCTATGTAAAAGGCCAATTACAAATATGTAAAAACAAATCCAAATTTAGTCCAACAGCCTGAAGTCCCATACATTTCTGATTTCATTCACACTCAGACATTGATTTAAAAGGCAGTAAAGAGTAAGCACAGAATAGCCAGAGAGTGCTTTTAATACTATTGCTAATGTTCCACGAAGAGCTGGGTTCTTATGCCCTGTCTCCCCCTTCCCACCAAGTTGGGGTGAGCGTCTCACCCCTCCTGTCTTTGTATCTCCCACAGCACAGGCGAACGTCTGAAACTTCCATCTCACCCCCTGGATCCAGCATTGGGTCACCCAACCGAGTCATCTGCGTATGTATCGCTTCTCAGCATAGAGAGGACTTTCTTATCCCTGAGCCTGGAATCTAAAGAGGTTCTTAGGATAGAGACAGCTGTCAGGTTTTCATCCAGCTGTGCCAACATGTGCTAGGCGCTGGGCTGGATCCTGAGGATACAGTGGGGACAGGGAGGACATAGCCCCTGTCCTCGGGGAGCACACTGCTTAGTAATTTATAAGGATAATATCGAGATCAGGAGGAACATGAGAAAGAAAGTGCAACAACAGCAAGAGCCCTGGACAAGCTCTGAAACAGTGCAATGCCCATCCTTCCCATTACTTAACTGAGACAAGGGCAAGAGAAAAATTGGGGATTAGAGTCCTATTCAGAGTGCGTATTGAATGGAAAGTCAATGTGGAGACAGTGTGTGAGGAAAAGAGGCAGAAAGGAGGAAGAAGCCATAGGAATGTGGAAACATGGCAGTAAAGGATTTGCAAACACATAAAAGAACTTCCTAATCGTGTGAGAAGTCCAAGGATTGAGTAAACCTTGTGCATGTGTCTGAGCTCCCACCCCTAGAGGCATTCAAATATAGATAATCATCATTGCCAGGGATGTGGCAAAAGGGGCATACTGAGTGTCTATTCCACTACATATTGTCCTCTGCACTGGGGAGATGTTGGTGCCTCACCAACCTGATCCATAATGTTGAGCACATGATTCCATGGATAATCAGCGCAGTTCTCTTAGGTGTTAGGAAGAAAAAGTACAGGGTGCTCTGATGCTGCTGCAGATTTACCTGATGGTCTAGGGCCAATTAGGAGTAGAATCCTAGGAAGAACCCTTTAAGCTCAAACCTGAGAGAGAAAGAGAAGTGAGATAAAGGAGGTGAGGGAAGCATAGCCTGAGAGGACCACAATGACTAGGCTATTTCAGCCTTCCTCAAGTCAAAGGAGCCAAGAATACCAGAAATGGGGGCTGGAGGTAATGTCTAGAGCATTATAAGAAGTTCTAGAGACAGTGCTCAAACCCACCAGCCCCAATGGGCCTTGCCCATCATGCCTGATCATTATTTTACTCCAAATCCACATCCAGTTTCCTCCTTGATTGCTGGATTATGCCTATTGATGGGACTGTTTCCTTTCCTTTCTTCCTCTGTTTAAATTTTTAAAAGATGTAAGTGTAGCCATTGACTGCAACTTCAATATAGGTCAATACCGCCATGCGGCTCCCACAAAAGACAAGTGACTTTGATCACAGACTGTATGCACTGAAGACTCCTGTCAGAACAAGGAATGGGCCAGACCATGGCAGGATTAATGAGCTTAGTTTCGGGGCCTGTACCGTGAGGTTATTGACCAAAGTGAGTCTGTCTCCAAAAAAGAGTTACCAAGGTGTACGAACTCAGGATATAGAGATGCACTGTAAAGCCCTTAATCCCTGGCTGGTCTCTGTGCTGCTGAGGAGCCTTGCTAACCTTTGTGAAATAAGCTAGGCCCTGATGGTGTTCCCCCTGGAGGCAACACCAAGAGTTGCCCCTGTGAGACGCAGCTCGAGTATAGATGAACAACAGCAACTGGGGACACCTGCCACTGTGCTCTCCAGCTGGGGCCCTATACATTGAGATCAGTTACCCCCACATCCTCACATAGGCATGTGTGTTCCCTTCTGTATCCTCCTACTCTCCCCTTAATGATGCCTCACTTTCAGCTACTCAGGGGAATGACTGCACATGTGTTGTGAGTCATGTTGTAAGTCAGACTGTTCCAAATATGGCTTCCAAAGTCAGGAAAGATTCCATCCAACCACATTTGGGACAAGAAGTAGCAGGCAGAAGGAAAGAGTATTGGTTTAGTTTTCATAAATACTGAGGTTTGGTATTAAAATAAAATTATTAGTGTACCTGGAAAGGATAGGTTCTTCCAAACTTTGCCCCACCCCCCACTGACTGCTAGAGTCATCTCTAGGTGACTTGACTTAGATCAGCTCTTCATGGTCTCTTCCTTCCTTCCTGGCTAATTATATTAGGATGCCTCTGTCCAATCACTATAAACTCATTTATAACCTGGAACAAGGCAGTGATAGGAAGAAACATAAATTTAGTTGTCTCAGATGTTTGACTTAAAATGCTGAGATGAATATTGATGGGTTGAAACAAGTTTGTAAGATGCCAAGAGTCCTCAAGGTCAAGATCTAATATCCCAGGATGGAAGGCAGCAGTTACTTCAGCAAGTGGACTTTCCAAATGAGGTCTCTTTTACCCACCTACCCCCAAATTGGTACAGATGTGGATGTGTGACCCTAGCAGGGTCTGGCAGAAGTGAGATGGCATACCTCAAAGGGTTTAAGTGAGACAGGTTTTGTGAAGGGAGCATTTGCAGAGGTGTGGGCAGGGTTAGGGGACCCACTTGGTGCAGCATCCCAAGACTATCAGAACGGAAAGTTGTCACCCCCTCAGCCTAAAGGGAAAGGATAAGAGCTGGAGCTGTGGAAGAGCAGTCCCAGGCAGGAGCCATGCCCAACCACAGCCAGGCAAGACAGATATCACAGGGACAAGTACATAGCCTCTTCACTCTCCTTCCAGGTGTCTCCCCCCACCTTTGGGCAACCCAACTGAAAGACAGGGGGCCTGTGATAGAGTCCATGGGGCCTTGGAGCCTAAGTTAGGACAAGGAGAGTGGACAGTGGGTCTAGGAGAAAAGGAGAATGAATAGCACAGTGCCCAAAGAGCACTTGGATGGGACAGGATGGAAGAGTGGAAGGGCCGTGAGAAGTGTTTGAAATACCAATGTTTTTAAGGTCTTTATAAAAGCTGTTCTCTCTATACTAGTCCTGGAACTAAGACTTAACTGGCCCCCAAAGCACTGGGAGATGTTATGAGGATAATACAATCTCCTTGGTGCCCTTTCTAGTGACTCTCTTAACTTACCTCACTTCAGCACCTCGAGAGCACAATAGTTATGGGGAGACAGATCCTGTTAATCAGAGCATAAACTGAGTCACAGGAGGATGCTGACATGGAAAGAACATGGCTTCAGAAACCATGAGACATGAGCTGTCCCCTGCAAGGGGAATCTCTCTCCTTATCCATGCATTTCTAGAAAACTGAACTCAGGCAAAGTCAGGTAGTACAGGCTCAGTTCAACGATGTGAGGAGTAGCTTTCTGATGCAGCCCTTTGACAGCTGTAAGCCAGTGAATGCCCCACCCTAGGGAAGGAGGAGAGGCCACTGGAGAGGGCAGGCTCTCAGGTTAGGCTGGCTGGCTTTGAATTCTGGTTTTTCTGCTTTTTAGCTGTGTGACCTTGGGCGAGTCAATTAATTTCCCTGTGCCTGTTTCCTTATTCAAAGGTGTGGGTAATATTAGTACCTACTATTAGATGTGAGTGATGGAGTTAATCCATATGAGAGACTTAGAACAGAGTCTGCCTCATAAGAAATGCTCACTAAATGTCAGCTAGTAATTTCTACCATGATTATTTCTGTCTTTGCCAACTTCATCATCTTCAAGAACGCTGTGAATGCGGTATCTTCACTCTGTGAGGTCAGGAGGCAGTCAACACCCTGACACTTCACAGAGTTGTCTTGACATGTGGAGGAGATAAGTCCTGTAAAGCACAGGGCCTCACACATCATATGTGCACAATCAGTGTTGGCTCCATTGGGATGGATGGTCTCAAAGACCTGTCTTATTCTCACATTCTGCAAGTTTTCCAATCTAAAGTTTTGTTTCTAGTGGAAACTGGAGAAGCTTGTCCTCCCTGTGCCTCTCTCCTTTCCCTCTTATCTTTCTGCTTCTTTCCTGTCCATTTCCTTCTTCCCCAGGCTAAAGTGGATAATGAGATCCTTAATTACAAAGACCTGGCAGCTCTCCCCAAGGTTAAGTCCATCTACGAGGTACAACGCCCCGACCTCATTTCCTACGAGCCTCATTCCAGATACACGTCTGATGAGATGCTGGAGAGATGTGGCTATGGAGAGGTATGGCATCTTGCCCCTCTCTCTGGGGCTGCTGGAGGAGAGGAGGGTCCATGGGGTCACCGATCCCCTCCATCACAGACACTTTGCTCTCCACAGTGTTGACCCAAAGACTCTTTTAAACTGGAATTTATAATTAGCATTTTAAAATCAGGTTATTTCATCCGAAAATCTGACTTACTTGAAAAATTATAGCTGATAACACTTCACCAGTATTTCCACCATTTAGAGATGGGGAGCAGTTCTCCTGGGTCCCCATCACTTCCTGAGAACACCAACATTGAAGCTGAGAACTACTTATCACCTGAAATACTGTTTTTCTTACAGTGGAGAAATTTTATACACAGCCCACGGCTCTTATCTCCTGCCAGAATTAATGGCCATTTGGGTTTATAATCCTTAGTAGGTTCTCTGGTTTTGGCACTTGACCTTAAATACCTGAACTCAAAGCAAGAGATGAACTCTTATAAACACTCAGCATCAGATGGCTTTAAGAGAAAATGTTCTCTGAAAAAGGCAGGGTGGCTGCTACCCGGGAGGTCCTGGCCATTGATATCCCAGGAGATTTCTAACTCCATCCCAGACCCCTGAGCTGAGAGCATGTGGAGCAGGGGCTGGGGAAACCACAGACTGAGGTTCTTGTCCCTATTCCACCACTGTCCCCTTCCTCTGTAGAAGGACTAGCTTCCATTTTGGTTTGAGATTCTGGTGCTGAGACACTCTGTGTTCTAGCCCCTGAAATGGACCAGGAAAAGGGAACCAAGTGTTTGGTAAAAGCTGCTTTTCCTAAGGGCAGAGATGGCCCACTGGGGCCCATAAGCCACACTCACCCTGAAATTTGTTTTGTTTCGCTCACAAAATATCTTTTAAAATGTAAATTAGTTTTCAACATTTAAACATTGGAGATTTCACCTTAGAATTTGCCTTTCTCACTTGTCTTGGAAAATTAAGAAGTTGTGTTAACATTGGACAGACATCCCAACCTGGCCCTGATGCTCTAGAGCTGAGCAGACCTCCATGGAGGGGCCGTTCCATCTCCAGCTCCCACAACACCCACTGGCCAACTCCCATGTTGATGGCACCAGTCTGGCCCTTGCTTGGCCCTGCCTTTGGACCCCGTACCCAGGCATTGTCCTCATGAACCACAGAGGTTGTGAACGGGTAAAGGGACAAGGAAGGGTCATGAATTGACTCTGAGCTTGCAGTGGAGATGCCTGGGTCCAGGTGAAGACCCTGCCGCCACCGCCTCCCTGAGAGGTCCCGAGCCTTCCCATTCTCTCTCTGGGCCTTGGCTTTCCTATTTGAAAAAAGGAGGGCATAACCTCAAGGTTTTCTACCACCTGTCAGCACTGCTATCCTGGAACTCGAAGTGAGGGTTATCCGGACAGGAAGGCTGAGGGCAGCGGAGGCCCTCTCTTTGCTGAACCATTTAACTGCTCTCTGTCCCCCTCTCTCACCCCCTTCTCTCCTTCCATGACTGCCTGCAAACTCTTCGCTTCTAAGTCGCTGGGAACATTATCTCCCTACTCCCAGGTAATTGATCTGGTTTGGGGAGACCTTTTGTATAATTGTGTCCCTTGATGCTGACCAAACAGGCCCCTGATAGATGTGAGGTCCTCCACTCCTCCATAGCCAGTCCTCCCGGAATTCCCAAGGGTCCTGAGCCCTTGACCCAATCAAGGCGGTGATAGGGAGATAGGAGCATGACCTGGAGGAAGGGGTGGTGGCATAAAGGGTAGAAATGATTGGGGGCAAACTTGATATACCCTTTCTACCCAGAGAAGACCTCCCCAATACTGTGATCCTTGGCCAGAATTCCAGGGACCTGACCCTCAGTTCCATTCAAGGGCCTGTGAGTGATGGGGGAAGGCCCTGGAAATTCTCTGCACCCTTCCTTGGGTTGTGCATGTAACCTACGGAGGGGTCTCTATTCAGAAGGGCAGCACCATGCATCAACCTCCTAGAATCCCAGATTCTCTGTCACTCCCCCCCCCCCCTGCCTACCATTCCCCTGGGCCAAGGCCTGCCTAGTTGCTGACCGTGCTCACAGCCTCATTTCCTCCCCCAGGACATCTACGAGAACCTGGACCTCCGGCAGAGACGGGCCTCCAGCCCAGGATACATCGATTCCCCCACCTACAGCCGGCAGGGCATGTCCCCTACCTTCTCCCGCTCACCTCACCACTACTACCGCTCTGGTAAGGACAGGGAAAGCCCCCAAAGGGACAGGAAGAGCCAGAGAGACAACACAGTGGTTTGATGTTCCCAGCTGTGGAGATAGAACAGGGCTTTCCTAAGATCTCTGTTTTACAGCATGGCCTCTGTAGGCTTGGGGCCACCCAGGTGACCAGCTGGGCCCACTGAGTCCCTTGGCAGGGGAGAGGAAGAGCAGCTGTGGGGAATGGGTGGTGAGCCGCTAGGAGAGGGGAGTGGCAGGCAGCCCAAAGATCCTAGCTGGAAGAAGACACTTCAGTCCTCAGCTTTAAGCCTGCCTGGTCCAGAGGATAGAACCAAAGGACCAGAAATGGGGCTCTGGCCTGGCTTTCACCCACAGCCCAGCCCCACCCAGGCCAGTCAGGTCATCAACAGCCAGCCCTGAGATTAAGAGTAAAGCCAGCAAAGCGATTAAGGGAGGGGGAAGAAGGGTAGGAGGGCGGGGTAAAAATGCCTTCCTGAGCTTAGTTGAGTGGATTCTTCCAACCCACAAAACCTGACTTTAGGGTGAAGCAAGAAAGCAGGGTCAGGCCTGTTCCTGCAGACACAGTGCATGAGCGCACAGCTGCCTTCCCACTGTTCCTGCTCCCCACACTTCACTGCTGCCTTGACTGCCACTGCGTTAATGCCTGTTTTCTCTGCCTCTGTTCTCTCTGTGGGACCACTGCCTGCGTGCTCCAGGGCCCGAGAGTGGCCGGAGCTCTCCATACCATAGCCAGTTAGATGTGAGGTCCTCCACTCCAACCTCTTACCAGGCTCCCAAGCACTTTCACATCCCAGGTAGGCTGCCAGCCCGGAACTCCCAGCATGGACGGATGCATGCTTCATGAGGTTGCCAGACACCCTGCACTAGCACCAAGGAGAAGCCAGTTCCTGGGGACCCTCCCTAACCATCACCAGAACTAACCCACCCTCTAGTCCTGATACACCCACAGTCTTACACTCTCATGACAAAATCAACCGTGGTCAGGACTGCCAGGAAGTAGCCCAGGGAAGTGCCTCGAATGTTGAGAGGCCATGATGGGACACAGCAGTAATCGGGCTGAAAGTCAAGGGCTTTTGCATCAAAACTGGGGATTAAATATTGATCCTGCTGCTTATATATAAGCTGTTGACCTCAGGTCAGTTACTTAGTTTCTCTGAGCCTCTGTTACTCCTTCTGTACAGACAGGCACTATTCTGGACCCTGAGGCTGCAACTTCAACTAGCCCAGATCCTGCCTTCATAGTGTTTATGCTCTATGTGAGGAGAGAGATCATAAATAAGTAAACAAATAAGTAAAAGGATAATTTTGGGTGACAGTAGGTGCTGTAAACATAATAAAACAGAGTAACGGGGGTGCAGGAGGCTGGGCTAGATGAGGTGGTCAGGAAGGGCTTCTTGGAAGTGGTGACAACATTGAAGCCAAAAGATGAGAAGGAATCATCCTTATGAAGATCCCAGGGGAAAACATCCTGGCAGAGCAAGTATAAAGGTTGCGAGCCAGAGGTTGCGAGCCTCAGAGATAGTGATAGGTGAGCTTGTAGGTGTGATCTGGACAAGATCTCACCCTGAGTTACAGCCTAGACTATTCTCCCAACTCTGAGCACAGGTTCTCACTCCTCACTCACTTTTCCCGGGAGCTTGTCCTGCTGCTTTACCTACTCCTTTCCCATCCTGTCTGTTTGAGGAAGTGGGAGGAGATGACACTGAACCATGGCTGCAGCATTCAGGGCACTTTCTCATGGAATTAGGCGTGGCTGCTGGGTGGAGGCAGTGGGGCCCAACCTGCATGGGGCCTGCTGAGCACGTGCCCACCCTTTGCCTGCATGTCCATCACTCAAGCCCCAAGTTGCTTCATCTGCACCATTTGAATCCCTCCATTCCTCTCCCCTCACCTTTCCTGGAACCTGGTGGTACAAGGTTGGAAGCTCAGCTTTGGAAGAAGTCCACCTGGGAAAAGATGGTGGACCCTTGGGAAAACTTATGGACCATTTCTCTCTTCTGAGATGAACTGACCAACTGTTTTCTCCTTTTTTCCTCCCTCTCCCTCTCCTTTTCCTCTCTCCCTCACCTCCCTACTGTCCCTTCTGGGTCTGTCTGGCAGCTGGAGAAAGTAACATCTACCGGAAACCCCCGATCTACAAACGGCATGGTATGGTCTGAGGCAGAATGAGCATGGCCAGGCAAGGGATGTGGGGCATTAACACATGTGCCAATGGCGTTGCTCAGGTCACTAGGAGGGACACCTGCAAGGCTGCACCTCGGGCCTTACTGACTCCAGGGGACACTGGAGAAGAGTGTGCTGACATTTTAAAGAGCAAGGAAGGCTTCATATCCCCCACACCCTTTGCCGCCATCTCCCCAATTCCCCTTCCCTACTGTCTAGTGTCCTAAATTCCATGGTCAGAGTAACCCTTGTTGCGTACCTCTGGGAGGGGCGCTCCCGTGGCACTGACGCTCAGTCATTCGTCACTGAGGCTGGCAGTTCTTGCAGGAGCACTTACTGAGCCTCAGTGCAGGGGGCACATCTCTTAGCCGAGGATGCAGAGGCACAGCTGCCACCCTGTCACCCTCAAGTGCCTACAGGTCTAGGTGGATAACAGAGTTGGTGGAGCATGGAGCCAGCAGAAGCAGCCCTGAGCCAGGTTCTGATCTCACTGAGCTAGTGGAAGGGGCAGTACAAGTATAAATTGTGGCTCTGGTACTTACAGCCTGATGATTTAGACAAACATCCTGGGTTTTGGAAGGGGCTGGGCTGGGGCCGAGGGGAGTCTGTGAACATGTGCACGTCTATGTGTGGCTGCAGAGGCCATACCATGTGCCCCTAGTGGCCACAGGAAGTCACCAACCCTGACAAAATTAGTTTGACTTTACATCTGAAAAAGGCCCCCAGATCTCAAAGCCCTCAGGACTGCAGGATTTTGCAGATGGCTCTGGAAGGCAGCACCAAAGCAGGGAGTGTGGGGTGGAGATGGCTGAGTGGATAAGAGGGTGGATGAAAGGGCTGAAGGAGAGGGGCCCGAGGACTGACTGAACCACATCAAAGAGAACTGGGAAGCTTTGGGAGCAAGTGCTGCTGGGGGAGGGGGCACAGCCTGGAGCTGGTTGAGGGCCATCCCAGGACCCTCTGCTGCCCTGCCTGCCAGGAGTGTAGACTTTGTCCCTATAGCTTCTCTCCTGAGGAACTGTCCTAAAGCCAGCCTTCTCTCTGCTCTAGCCAGGCTCTTGTCAGTCTTTGAGATATGCTAAAGTCACTGCCCAGAAGATTTTGTGGCTGCGATAGGTTTGATAGTCACTCCATGCTGTGGAATTCATGTGACAGCTGGAAGTTGGATGGCATCTAGCCAAAAGACTAATTCGGATGCTCACAGATGAGAAACTGAGGCAGAGAGGGGGAGGACTTTCCCAGTGTTACAACTGAGTTAAGTGGCAGAGCTGGGCGAAGAGCCCAGCATTGCTGACTCCCTCCCTGTCCAGTGTTCCTTCCTTTGGGTCATATAATCTCCTCAAGAAGGACGTGGCATCTCAGGGTGAGCAGGTTGACCTGATTCAACATGCAGCAAGGCCTGCTTGCCAATTCCCACCCTAAATGTGGTTCAAATCCACAACAAGGCCAACTGCTAAAAGATAAGGAAGGTAAGGGAAAGGGCTCACCTGGGACATGTCCAATCTCACCTGGTGGAGCCACAGCCTTAGTGTTCACTCAGGAGTACACCTTGGAGTCGTGGAATGTGGTAGAAGGAGCCCCGAGCGAGGTGTGATCCTGTTCTGGTCTAACCTGCTGTGTGGTTCCGAGCAAACACCTTTCCCTCTCTGCTGTTCAGAATCCCAACTGTCAAATGCAGGCCTTGGCCTCAGTGCTTTTCCAGCTCCAGTGCTCCATAGTGTGGCCTTACTTCCCTGGGCTGGAGCCTGGCTGAGACATGGGAAACAGTGTACAGGACACTGGTCTAGAATACTCTGCCTCCCTAAAGCTCTCTCTTTGGGTCCTTTGCAGGTGATTTGTCAACAGCAACCAAGAGCAAAACAAGTGAAGACATCAGCCAGGCCTCCAAGTACAGTCCAGCCTACTCTCCAGACCCATACTATGCTTCAGAGTCTGAGTACTGGACCTACCATGGCTCCCCCAAAGGTAGTGTGCCCCACAGGGGAGCCAAGGCCAGAGACCTGTCGCCTACACCAGGGACACGGGGCCAGGACAGTCACCTGCTCCTTCACATGACCATTCACTTACTCATTCGGCAAACATGTATTGAGGACCAGCCATGGGCCCTAGGGAAATACCGGGGAGCAAACCAGACCATGTCCTTGACCTTATGGACCTAACTAGAGCAGGAGATGATATACCAGGGGTGAGATACAGGAGGTAAGAGAGCTGATGACAAAGCGTGTCAGATGGTGGAGTGGCAGCTCACCAAGTGCACTTGAACAGGGTCACTTGGCTTGAAAGTGGTGGCACATAAGGGAAATGCCCACCTGTCTAGGCTCTACTGCCCCTGTGCCCACTCCCCAGAGCATGCTGAGTGGGCAGCACACGCAGAAGCTGATCCTTGCTGTCTTTTGGCAGTGCCCCGAGCCAGGAGGTTCTCATCCGGAGGAGAGGAGGAGGATTTTGACCGCAGCATGCACAAGGTGAGGTGGCCACCCCGCTGATGAGATGCTTAGATGGTATGCTACTGAGGATGTTTTCACTTGCGAGTGACAGAAACCAAATTCAAAGTCATTTGTTGATGGAAAAAAGAAATAGCATAACTGAAAAGCCAAATGGCAGGATTTGCTTCAAGTATAACTAGATGCAGCCAAAACCAGTTTGGCTCAGTGGATAGAGCGTCGGCCTGTGGACTGAAAGGTCACAGATTTGATTTCGGTCAAGGGCATGTACCTTGGTTGTGGGCACATCCTCAGTAGGGAGTGTGCAGTAGGAAGCTGATAGATTTTCTCTCTCATCCATGTTTCTAACTCTTATGCCTCTCCCTTCCTCTCTTTATATTTAAAAAAAAAAAAAAAACGTGTAACTAGATGCAGCTGCTCAAAAAACTGTCATAGGGAAGTCATCTCCCTCTGCTCTGGTGCCGCTGCCTCTGCATTGGCCTCATGCTCAGGCAGGTTCTTCTCATGTAGTGGCACGTGAGTGCCAGAAACTCCCATGCTTTGCCAGTGGAAATGGAAAGTGGTGCCACTACTACCAACACTGGTGGTTCCTCAGAAAGTTAGGTGTAGAACTACCATGTGACCCAGAAATTTCACCTTTAGATATATACCCAGAAGGACTGAAAACTGGTACTCAAATATATGTACACACATGCTCAGAACAGCACTATTCACAGTGGCCAAAGGTGGAAGTAACCCAGATGTCCATCAGCTCACAAATGGATTTTTAAAATGTGGCATATCCATACAATGGAATGTTATTCAGCCATAAAAAAGGAATGAAGTACTGTTACATGCCAAAATGTGGATAAACCTCAAAAACATTACACTTAGTGAAAGAAGCCAGACACAAAAGCCCACATATTATATGATCTCACTTACATGAAATATCCAGAATAGGTAAATCCATAAAGACAGAACATAGATTGGTGATTATCAGGGACTGGACTGGGAGAAGAGGGTAATATGGAGTGACTACCTAATGGGTACGGGGTCCTTTTAAGGGTGATAAAAATGTTTGAAACTAGATAGAGGTTGTGGTTGTACTAAATGCCACTAAATTGTTCATTTTAAAATGGTTACGTTTATATTATGTGAATTTCACCCAGACCACGGGACCACCTGTGAAGGAGAGGCTGCAAGGAGGAAGGGACATTAGGAAGGCAAAAATAACAGGTTCACTATAGAGAGTCCAGGCACTCAGCTGCCCCCAAACCTGTTCCATCTCAGGGCTCTTTGCTTCCTTCTAACTCAGTGGTTCTCAACCTTTTTAATGCCATGACCCTTTAATACAGTTCCTCATGTTATGGTGACCCCCAATCATAAAATCATTTTCGTTGCTACTTCATAACTGTAATTTTGCTACTGTTATGAATCGTAATGTAAATATCTGTGTTTTCTGATGGTCTTAGGATCTACAGCAGCGGTTCTCAACCTGTGGGCCCTGACCCCTTTCACAGGGATCACCTAAGACCATTGGAAAACACAGATATTTACATTATGATTCATAACAGTAGCAAAATTACAGTTATGAAGTAGCAATGAAAATAATTTTATGGTTAGGGGTCACCACAGCATGAGGAACTGTATTAAAGGGTCGCGGCACTAAAAAGGTTGAGAACCAAGTCTAACTTCATCTTGCTTCTCCCCCACCCCCAGCTCCAGAGCGGAATTGGCCGGCTGATTCTGAAAGAGGAGATGAAGGCCCGGTCCAGCTCCTATGCAGATCCCTGGACCCCGCCCAGGAGCTCCACCAGCAGCAGGGAGGCCCTGCACACCGCTGGCTATGACATGTCCCTCAATGGCTGTAAGCACTGTTCTGGAGGCCTGCCTGCCAGGGGGGCTTTCTCCTCCCCACTGCTCCGGTCTCACCTGGTTCTAGAATACAGAGTTGGCAAGGGGCTCTGCAGGGCACTGAGTGAGACCATGTGCTGCAGCGAGCAGTCACTCTACTTCTTGGGGCATCTGAAACAGTGACTTTCAATCAGGTTCAATGTAAACAAAAACATCTTCTAATCATCTGAATGGCTCAAAGATATAAAGGGCCCCTCTTGAGGTAGTGAGCCTCCTGTCACTGGAGGTACACAAAGCAGAGAATGGATTCAAGCTGTTTGCCCTAAGAGTCACTGTAATCCCATCTCTTTTCCCGGACAGACACAAGTTCTGTCTGCCTCCTCTCTTTCTTAGCCCTGTGGGAGTCGGTCCTGCCAGGAAATCCTATCTCAAGTCAATACTTGATGGGTAATAACCTTGTCAAGATTAATCATCTTGACATCATATCAATACTTGATGGATACAACTCAATATTGGATGAGTAGTAACCTAATCAGGGATAATCACCTTGACTTTAGATGAGATTAAAGGAGATGGTGGTGGTAATGATGATAAAAACCAGTTGCATTCAGTGTTTTGCATGTGTCAGCCACTGTGCTAGTTCCTTTCTATATTTTGTCATATATTCTTTGCAATCACCCTGTAAAGGAGATGCTCCCTCCCCATTTAAGAGATGAGAAAACTGAAGCATGATTAAGTAACTTGAAGAAGTTAGTATCTACTAATGGCAGAACCAGGATAGTTTGACCACTAGAGGCACTAATTTTACCCTTTGCTTCTGGGCTCTGTGCAATACTCTGCCAATGCTGTTCAAAATTCAACACATTCAGTGGCATCTGTGCAGCAAATAAAACACAGCAGCTGCTATGCCCCAGGTGCTGGTCCAGGAGCTGGGAGCGGAGGTAGGATGCGGTACAATTGGAAACTGACCAGTGGGGAAGGAGGTAGTGAAAGAGACCCCTTCTCCCCCCGCCCCAGCTCCTGTGTGTCTGTCCACCATGTCTGTCTGTCCCTATGAACACTGACCTGTGGCTTTTCTCTCTTGCAGCCCCTCGGTCCCACTACCTGGCTGACAGTGGTATGTTCTGCCTGCCCTACCTTCAGCCCCATGGTGTCCTGTGAGGGCAAGAGCTGAGTCAGCTGCAGGTTCCCCAGAGCTGCGATGAGCATATAACATGGATGTCCCAGCACAGTCCTTCTCTCCAATAGTCTACCCCAGTGGTCGGCAAACTCATTAGTCAACAGAGCAGCAAACCGCTGGTCTACCTCATTGTGCTTGTCAAGCTGGTGGGCCTCAATTTTTGGTTTTAGAATGAGGGTTGACGTGCCCCATGGCTCCCAGAGGGAAAGAAGGAGTATGTACCTCTTCCACCCATCTGAGAGCTTACCTGTCCGGGTTCAAGCTCTCACCTCCAATTTCAGGGCCTTTGTCCAGGGCCACCCTGTGGCCAGGATAGGAGTCCATCATAAGAAGCTAGATTTGTGCAGGACAAGGCCAGAAGACTGTGTGAATGGGTGCTTTGGGTGGGCCTAGAATTCTGTCAGACTAAGGCACCCTAAGATTAGTCAGCTGCAGGCCTGGAGAGCAGTCGGAAGAGCTGTTGGCCTCTGCTATGGCCCCTTCAGCCCCAGGGTTGGGGAGTAACATTGGCCATCTGCAGCCAGATGAGCTCAGGGAGAGGTCCTCACCTTGGCTCCCTAACAATTGTTTTCTTCTTTTTTTCAGATCCCCTCATCTCCAAGTCCGCCTCCCTGCCTGCCTACAGAAGAAACGGGCTGCACAGGGTAAGAAGGCTATGCGGGGACATTGCTTCTGCGATGTTGGTGATTCCAGCAATTAGCTCGTTGCTGTGGTGCTTATGGTGATCACTTAGGGGTGGAACGTGGACAAAGGCCTTGGGGCTAGAGGTGGGTCACCTGAAGGAACCCAAAGGCAATGCTTGCTCTCCTCCCTGTGAGCCATATGTGAAAAGGAGCCCCCCGAGAGAGACTGGCCAATGCCTGGCACTGTGCTAAGCACTTTACAAGCACTAACTTCTTTAACCTGCGAGATAGTTACTATGGAGGCACAGAGGGGCGGGGGTGACCTGCTCAGGCTCTCAGACCTAGTAAGCGCAGAGCCAGGACTCAAGCCCACAGCCCACACCTGACTGCCTGGCATGGCTTGGAGCCCTTTGAGCTCTTTGAATGCCTGCAACATAAAACCTTCCCAGAAACGGAGAGTTGGTTTAAGGACCTAAAGAGAATTTTAAAAAATACGCCTTGTTAGCAAGAGGAAAGGCTGTGTGCCTGGACAGGTGATAGGGGAAGCAGAGACACTGAGATAGATGTTTATTAACTGAACACCTACTAAGTGCCAGGCACTGTCTAGGTGCTGGAGGTGCCACAGTGAATGAAGTGGCTGCTCCCGGGGAGCTTGAGTTCTAGTTGGGGAGATAGACAACCAGCAAGTAAAGGTGGGATCTGCCGTCAGGTGGTCCTAATTGCTAAGATGGAGCTCAAAGCATGGGGGCAAGGAGAGAAGGCAGTCAGAGAGGGGCGGATAAGCCAGGCCTGAGGGCACAAAGGTTCTTGCTGCTTCAAGACCAGCAAGACCTATCCAGATGGAGGGACACACAATGTCCCAAGGCCCAGGACAGGGAGGACACAGGGCTGGCATGGAGTGAGCATGAAGCCCAACCCAGGGGATGAAGCCCAACGGGTGTCAGTAGGGCCCCGCACGGTGGTAAGGACTTCGGAGGGTTTCCAGCAACTGTGCTGTGTGACCTGACTCCCTGCTGTATGAACTGGAGACTGCAGAAGGACAGAAGTGGAGGCTGTACACCTGTTAGACTGCTTGAAGGTCGAGCATAAGAAAGGGATCCAAGCTCCACTGGAGCATAGCAGCTGGTGTTAATCAAGCTTCCTGCTGAAGGATACATAAGTCCTGTCCTCTGTGTGCTCAGAGCCTGGACATTTGCTCACACAACAGTTATTTATTTAAAGTATTTCATGTACATCAGGCACCACTCCGGGTGCCTGGAATACATCAGTGGCCAAGCAAGACAAAAATCCCTGTCCTCTGAGCTTCCATTCTTGTAGGGATAAACAGAAAGCAAGTAGTAAATAGTAAACAAGTAAAACTATATGGAATGTAGAAGGTAGTAAGTGCTATGGGAAAAAGGGGGGAAATGTTGAGCATCACGGGTAAGGGAGATCACGGACTTGGGGAGAGGGCAATAGCATTTTTAAATAGGGTTGCCAGGGGAGATCTCATGAAAAAAAGCATGAGACGTCATTCACAATAAATGAGTATTTCCTGAGAGCTTCTTATGTCCTGGGCCTGGGCTCTAGAGATATGGCAGTGAGTTAAATTACCCCAACTGGAGGCCGAGGCTTCTGTGAGAGCCCCCTGTCCCACATGCCCTGGTCCATTTTCTGAAGAGAGGTGAGTACTTCGGGGAGGCAAGGTGAGCTTGCCTCAGGCCGGCCCTGGCTCTGTCTCCCCTGCAGACACCCAGTGCGGACCTCTTCCACTACGACAGCATGAACGCCGTCAACTGGGGCATGCGAGGTGAGTCACGGGGACTCGGGATGCACTGCTCATAGCTGTGACATGACCCTATGACTGCTACAGACTCGGGCCCCAAGCTGGGCTCTATCCAAACCCCAAGTTCCCACTCCCTTTCACTTCCCAGTCCCTCCCTTTCCCACTCCTCACCCCTCTTCCTCTCAAATCCCTGGCCTTGGGTGACCTCCAGACCATCTGTCACATCTGGGTTCCCGGAGCCATCCCAGAGCACTGCTGTCCCAGCACAGCTGAGCTCGAGTTGCTGCCAGCATGGGATGCAGGGAAACATTCGAAGCCAAATGCACACTGTTCCCAGCAAAACTTCCATGTGCTGTGGGCAGTCTGCCAGGGGCTCTCCCGCCAGCCTCACCAGCTCCTCAAACAGGCTCAGGCAGGAGGGCAGCTCATATAAAAACTTGGAGGGCCCCAGAGACGATGGAGGAAGGGTCTTTCCCTGTGCTTCAGACTTGTCTTATTTCTCTTCTAAATCTCTCAAAAGTAAATTTTCCCCTAAAACTGTATCTCTGAATCAGCCCAACCCCTCTCTCCTGCCATCCATGGTACTCCCACCGGCCTTGATTTGGGGTGAACTCAGCAAGGACAAGGTCTCTAAGACAGAGGCCAGTATAATATGCACAGCAAAGACCAATGTGTTTCCATTTTGTGTCTTTTCTCTCTACAGAGTACAAGGTAAAGGAGATGCACAGATCCGGGAGGTCTCTGAGACACTAGAACCTGCCACACTGGGGACCAACAGGAGAATGACAGTGCCATCTATGCAGAAAATGGGGACATCGATAAATAACTCCAAGGGTCCCCTTAAGACCAGCATTTCCAGTTTCTTGGCCTACTTTCCCTAAGTCCTTCCCCACGACTCTTGCCTCCTGAAATCAGACCATTCCCCATAGACCTCAGAGACTGTCTGGAAGCTTCCAAATCATCAGATATCACCATCTACATTCAGGAGGCCTTGTGCCCACATTGATGTCAAATGCCATCACGCTTATCCCTAGCAGATCAGGGGACTCCGGACCCTTGCCTTTTGGGAAAGGGTGGCTTGAGGCTGCCAGGCAACCCCAAGGAAGGCAGATCCAGCCCTCCCTCCAGACTTTAACTTCTGGCTCTTTCTGGGTAGCGGAGGGAGCCCAGACACAAAATGTGGCTCAAGGGACAAGCCCACCGCCCTCACCCAATCTGCAATACCCTACCCCCATCCTTTCTCCTTAGATCTACCCTTATGAATTGCTGCTGGTGACCACAAGAGGAAGAAACCGACTGCCCAAGGATGTGGACCGGACACGTTTAGAGGTAAGTGTAGAAAACTGAGCAGGAGCCTTTGGGTTCAAAGGGATTCTAGCAGTTGCCTCAGCCAACTCAGGAGGGCCCAGGGAAATGAATGGCTTCAAGGTCACACAGCTTATTGAAAAGTAGAGGCTCTGTGCTGCCTCCTCAATTCACGTAGCATCTGTGCGACGCAGGCACAGTGGGTCCCACCTGCAGTTGAAGATTCTGCAGATGAACAAAGAAGCTAGATTTGGTCCCTGCTCTCAGAGCCTGGTAGATAAGAAGACAGTCAGCCCTGGTTTTATGCAGGATTATAGAGAAAACCAGTGTTGTGACAGGGGGGACAGGGAGGCAGCACTGCAGAAGTAAAAGCCTAAGGAGGCCTCAAGTCGGATTCCCCAGGTTCCAACCCTGATCCTGCCATCCCTAGGTGGGCAGGGCCAAGCAACAACATCTATAAACCTTAGTTCTCTCCTCTGTAAGGCAGGGTGACTGTCATACTTCCCTCCAGCTGCCAAGTGACACAATGAAACAATACACAAAGCCTCTGGCGTCGAGTCAGGCAGTGTCCTGCAGAGCAAGCACTTCGCCAGTGTGGGATTGCTCTTACTCAGAGACCACTAAGGCTCAGCTGGAAGACCAGGCTTCCAGTAAGAGATAGGACTTGGCTGGACTTTGAAAGTGGGCAGGTTTGGATGGGTAGAGAGAGGGAAGAGAACATCATGCAACAGAAATAGCATAGATAAAGGCACAGATGTGACCTGAGCATGGCATTGAGCTTTCAAGCCATCCAGTACATTTGGCTTGGAGTTCCAGTCCCTGGTCACTTCTGATGCAAGAGCACCCTCTGTCCTTTCCACCCCAGGTCTTTTCCTGTCTCTCCCTGGTCTGCCCCTCCCATCCCACTAGCCTTCTCACTCCTCAAGGCTGCATTCTAGTGATCCTTGTGCCCCAAATTTCCCCAGGCTTCCCCCATATGTGTCACTTACCTCTTCCTCCAGGCTCCCCAACCCTGTGTCTAGCATATAGATCCATTTCCTCTGTCTGCCAACATCATGTATCCTCTACCAAATGGTCTAGACTGGAAGGAGAAGCATATCCATCACCTTGACCTGACAGTGAGGAATTCATCCAGAGTAGAGAGAGTGTTGGGGCAGTTGGAGGGAAATGCCAGTGAGCCCTTCCAGCCCTAGCATGTTGGGGTAGCAGCGAAGAAGCAGGTGATTCAGCCAAAGGCCTCCTTTCACTGTCTGGCAGTGAGTGTCTTCCAGTGCTGAAGGGGACAGCTCCCAGGGCAGTTCTGCAAGCACCAGCATTAAGGGATGGAAATCCTGAAAACCAATTGCTCTGCTACATCCTCCAGGACACCCAGAAGAAGCTCAGACCAGGGAAGCACAGCCTCCCCTGAGCACCAGAACCACCCAGGGAGCTTTTTAAAAATACCAATATAGGGCTCCACCAGTTCAATTGCCATCTGGGGAAGGGACTCCGGCTTCAGTGTTCAGAGACTCACGGGCATGTCTAACGTGTTGCCTGAGCTGAGACCACTGGGCTAAATACTGCCCTAGCCCCCTGTACCAGTTCAGGAAGTGGACTGAGCTAAGTCAATTAACTACTGTAATTGCTACCAACAGGTCATCTTGGTGATTCCTGTAAGTTTTCAGGCAGGATATATGCCATATATTTCTCTCTAACACACAATTTAAAATTTTATCTTGAAAAATTTCAGAACTCAAAAAGTTGCAAGAATAGCAAAATCAACATCCATCTAACCTTTATTTAAATGCACTAATTATTGATATTTTGCCACATTTTAAGTGTCACATATTTCTAAATCTAAAAGCTTTGGACAATGTATTAAGTTTCAAGACTGTTTGTGAGGGAGGAAGAGCAGGCAGAAGGTGGGAAGCAGGGGTGGGTGGAGGTCCTGCCATGCAACACAAAGCAATGTTTTATTTTACAACATATTGTTTTCATATGAGAAAGAGATGAAAGGACATTTCAATGGGTGGATGAATGTGAGCAGTAGTGTTTTTCACCAAGTAGCCTGAGGATCAGCCATCTAGATTATTTGTAAAAATATCAATAAGAGGAAATACACCCTAATATCTTGGCTATGCCCCCATCTTCCACAAAAGGACAGAGAAGCAGCATTAATCCATACATACTCCTAAATACAGAATGGATGCGTGTAGCAGGGATGTAGAAAGGTGAGGTTAACCTGGATGCATCCAAAGGCACTTAGGTGAAGCATGAATCCCACCTGAATCCTGAGTGGGGGCAGCCTCTTCAATCAGACCAGTCCCCAAGGTCTCTCCGATGAAACATTCACCACACATTTATTCATTCAACACATATTCATTACACACTTCTGTGAGTCAGACACCACGCTGGGCACAGTGCACCCAGAGGAAATATACAGTGACTGCTCCTGCCTCTCCAGCCCCCAGCCTACACCTCACATCCTCAAGCTGTTTCCTCTCTTTCGCCTCCCACTTCCTTTTAGCGCCACCTGTCCCAGGAAGAGTTCTACCAAGTCTTCGGCATGACCATCTCTGAGTTTGACCGGCTGGCCCTCTGGAAGAGGAATGAACTGAAGAAGCAAGCCCGGCTGTTCTAAACAGAGGCTCTATAAATATATATGCACTTATATAAAGATATATGTAAAGTCTCTATACTGGAGCTCAGTATAATCCTCTTGTGTAATGGGACATGCTGCCTGCCAGGAGACTTGCTTTTCTGTGCTGTCAGGCAAGCCCACATCATCAAAATATTTTTATGCTCCTTACTTTCTCTTTTCTAAATGTAATGGGGTTAGGGAAGGAATTTGAGGGGACACCCATCCTTTTACCAGGGATCCTTTTTATACTGAAACATCTGTCCTAACGTGAGTCCCCCAAGATCCAACCCTCCTTCCTAGAGGAGGTGCCTGAGGTCTCTTCTCTCTGCTTCTTAACTCTTTTCTCCAGTCATGAGTGTGGACACTGACCATGCTGTTTCACATCTTATTGGCCCCAGAGGGGCCTTCCTATCGGTGCTCAGTGACTTTGGTCATGTCCCAAAGTCACTGGGCACTTTTGAGAGCCCTTGCAGAATTTTCTCATCACCCACAATTAGGAGTTCGGTGCTCTCTGGGAGTGATGCAGTTAGAAGTGTGGGCCTCAGGACTGCTCTTCACAGCAGTAAACAGAGGTGGCCAGGGACTTGGCCTCTCCTCAGTTCTTCAATCCTCCTCCTTTGTATCTGATCCTAACCTCTCCCTGGTTCAAATCTTCGACTTTGGTAAAGGAAAAAGCACTTCCTTTTCTTCCACCACTTCCACCTGGCCCCTCTGGCTGGCCCCTACTATGAGAACCAGAGAGAGGGATTGGAAACTGGGAGCAGGAGTGTGAGACAGAGAAGGGCACCTGTTAGAACTGGAGCTGAAGGACCTCTTGGGGCCTCTTTCCTCCACCACCCCCTCACTGCTCCCAGCACCTCCTGACCCCTTCCCCCTTTGGAGAAGAGGCCCATTATTGCAGCCTGTATTCTTCAGCCTTACTACAATCTATGTGCCTGACAACTCAACACACCACAGGGCTACGGTTCCCACCATAGCTCTAACTGACCAACGAAACAGACAACCTCTATCACCCCTCTCAAGGTAATCAAGGCCATGTTCCCAAGAAAGGTTCCTGGTCTGTGCCTGCTGGTCCCAGGGCTGGCAGGGCAACCCAGCCAGGACCTGAATCCCACTACAAAATGGGCCAAGTATCATAGGGGAAACTTTCTGAAGAATGGCTGCTCATGACGTTCCAGAATGAAGCACTGGCCCACACCATTCAGATCCTCCTGGATTTCCCCAGTGGCTGCTTTTCCTGCCTCCTTGCCTTCTGGAATGGGTGAATGCTTATTTAGCCCTCTCTTCTCCCCTTTCCAGACCTTCTACTCTGAGTTGGTGATGTCTGGTGGGGCCTGCTCCTTCCTGGAGATGCCTTGAGTCAAGCAATTTTGAGGTCTTGGGAGGAAGGACCAATGCATGGCAATGACAATTAGGACTCTCAAGAGGCTGGTGATGTGACATGGCTACTGTAGAACTGACTTCAATTCAACATACCCTCACTGAGCACCTGCTGATGCTGAGCACTTGCTGTATACTGAGCACTGAACGGGGGAGGGAAGTGGGATGCTGGGACGATCAGCATGGGCCTGGTCTGAGGGACGTGCCTACTAACAAGTAAGGGACTCAAATGTGATGGGTGTAAGGCAGAAAGTGATGGGAGATGGCATGAGGAAGTGTTTGTGACATTACTGAAAATGCAGATGGCAGTGGGTGCAGACAAAAGAGAGCATTCTAGAGGAGACTGCATTTGAGCAAAGTTCGGGAAGCATCTTTATAAACTGGGAGGAGACTGTAACTTGAAAGGGTGAAAGGATGAAGGGACCGGAAAGGAGGTCTATTAGGCTCTCATTTAAAACATCAACCCTCTTGGTTACTTCTCTTTATGGCCAATATCTTTCAACTGTCCTGACCCCTTAGAAATGGCCCCAGCCAGACACAATCATTGAAACTGCCTCATTGTCACTGGTTGAGAACTTGGCAAGATTTGAAAGGATTTTGTTATTGTTGTTGGATATTTTTGTTTCCCATAAAGGCACATGATTTCAACCCAAACCTGTGTCCTTTTGTCGTTCGTAGTGGGAGTGGAAACAAGTGACATTGGAAGAGACTGAACCACACACATTGTTTTCAAAATAAGAGTCTAGAGAGCAGATCTCCCTTGGCCTTAGTTTCTCCTTCTGTAAAATAAGAAAACTTGATGAGGTAAGCATCATCCAGGTTGGGTCCTGCAGAACAAGGATCCCGCAAGACGGTAGAGGATGTTCCAAGGACAAATAAGATTCTATGATCAAAAAATTATAATAGTAATAGTTCCTCATTAAGTACCAACAATAGGCCAGGTTCTATGCCGAGGAATTTACACCTACCATCTCATTTAAGCCTCCATCACAACCCAAGAGGTGGCCATTATTCTTATCTCTGTCTCACAGATGAGGAAACAGTTTTGAAGAAGGCACATAATTACCCTCATAGAGTCAGGGACCAATTCCAAGCTGCTTGACTGGAGAGACCGGCTTATCTATCTACTCTTATCAGTCAGGATGTGTTCAGCTCCAAGAAAAGAGTGCCTTCTTAGAAATGGCTTGAACAATGAGAACACACATTGTCTTGCACAACCGGAAGTCCTAGGTGCAGGGCTAGTCAATTAAGCAACTCAGTGATTCCATCAGAAGCCCGGGTGTTTCTGCATCTCTTCACCATCAGCTCACTGGCTTGTGTCCTCAGGTGTGACCCCTCATGTTTACGAAAGGCTGCTATGACTCCAGCCATCATGTCCTCACACAACCACATCAAAAAGCAGGAAAGAAACTTCCCTTCGTGAGTGTCTCTTTTAATCAAAAAGACCTTCCCAGAAATCCTCAGGAAATTGTTCCACAGGTCCCACTGGCCTAAACTAGGAAATAGACCCATAACCTTGCTGCAAAGAAGGCTCAGAAACTGAGCATTTGGCATTTTCAGGCTCTATACTGAGAGGCAGGCACTTCCTGTAAACAAAGGAGAGAAGCAGCACAAGGACTAGCCTCAGGATAATTGAATCACAGTGTCTCAGTCACAGCCCCTGCCCACCCCTGCTTAGACACTCACAATGCTCATTGGCAAAAGTCTGCAAAGTACTATAGTAACTTTGTTTAATCCAATAATTCACAAACTACTTTGACAAAACTCTGATTCAGAGATGTTAGACTTCCTGTATTTCATCTATCCTAAGATACACAAATTTTTTCATGTTTTGACATCTCTGAAGATGAGATGTGACTCAAAAGAGGCTCCTTTCCTGACCCCTCATTCTGTGATTCTTTTAAGTACCATCCCCTCCACATCCCTCCAGACAGGTGGCTCAAATGTGCAAAAAGATAGTCTGGAATGTTCCTTTGCTCCCTGCCTACACATGCAACCAACCAACATTCACTCATTGAGCGCATGCTGCCAGGCAGGGGCTCTGAGCAACCAGCAATTCGCAAGGCAGGTGTGAGCTCTCGTGTAGCTCTGGTCTAGAGGAGAAAACGGGCTGTAAGTAAATAAACAAAAAAAGAGATGGTGCATGAAGATAACTGTCACAGAAACAACAAATAGGGCACTGGAGAGAGAACCAGGAAGGAACTCAGTTCATATATTTACTGAAGGATAAAAAGGGACAAGCGGGGAGGGGCACTCTAGGCTTAAAGAAAAGCATATGCAAAGGCTCTGGGGTGGGTAAGAGCTTGATACATTTGAGAAACTAAAAGTGTCACTGAGGACAGAGTAGAGCAAGTGAGGGAGATGAAGAGGGGAGGGAGCTTAGAAGAGGTGGGAAGGCAAGCAGGGACCAGAACGTGCATAGGGTCTAGAAGGACACCTCTTATTCATTCAAACTTTGTGGAGCCTGTCTGGCTTGCACAGTGGTTGTTAATATATCCGAGAATCGCTCTAAGCCTTGCTACTGAAGTGTGCTCCCCAACCAGCAGCAGTGGGGTCACCTGGGAGTTTGTAAGAAATGCTGTATCTGGTGCCCCTAGTCAATCCGCCTCTGTGTTTTAATAAGATAATAATCATTAATAATTTAATGATCCACACACATAGTGCAGTTTGAGAAGCACTATTCTAAACCACCATCCTTTTAGGACAAACACAATATCATTTTGTGTCTAGGCTTAATGAAGTTCTAGAAAGGAGCCCTTTCCCCATGCATATAACCTTTTTGGACACTGGGGGGCAATCTTACATTAATAAACCAGAACACAATTACACAATTGCGGGGGGGGGGGGGGGGTAAGTGCACAGAAGTCACAGGAGGTTAGAGCATAATGTCCACATTTTTCAGCCAAGGAATCAGGCCCACTGAGTGAGCAGATCAGGACTAAGCAGCCGCTCGTCCTTACTGGGCACCTGGCACGGAAACATGGGGACCGGCTGTGGAAGGTGTCAGCAGCTACACTAGCCACTGAGCAGAGCTGAACATGGAGCAGATGGGCTTAACATTTAAAGAGAACAGAGCACTGCTGCAGTTCATAGCAATTAACATGGCAGAATGATGCCAGCTCTGTTAATGCCCCTGGGGAACTAAGTTTTACATGCTTCATTCCTCATCAGACTTTGAGCTGCTAAAAACCTGGACTGCACAGTGATAAACACCTGCTTTTATAGACACAGCTCTGAGCCACTGCCAAGACATTCGGAAACCAAGCCGTAAAAAAGCCCTGGAACGAGGCCCTTTTAAATAAGTAAAACCCTGAAGCCCTGAAAATGACGGCCAGCCTCTCGTTACCACCCAAGGGCCCACTGGTTTCCTCACTGAGCCTGGTCCAGTTGGCACAGGGAGGGACACAGGCAGGGGGACCCCAGGCCTGCAGTCAGCCCCACGGCTAGTCCTCTCGGCAAATGAGGGCCAGGTGTGCAGATGATTCAGGTCACAGAGGTCAAGCGACAATTACGCCCATGTCGGAAGGCGTTTCCTTCTCAGGGAGAAATATCCCAGTCACTCAAACATCACCTTCCCAATGTTCATAAGATTATTTATTTAGTCAGGGCTGCTTATGTAA